GCTCCTGGGAAGAAGTTTGGGCTCAGCCTTCTTTCAGGCTCACAGGAAATGACAGGGTTAGAAGAAGGTTACAAACAATGAGAAGAGGACAGGGTGAAACAGAGGAGCTAGGAATAAGTTCCCGGCTCTGGGAGCTGTTGGTGCTGTGGTTCACTACAATAGCCCCAGTAGCTCTGCCTTCTGAAGCATCAGCAGCATGTTACATGTTGCTTTTCTCTTTCTCTCCCCAAAACATGAGGTGAAACAGCAGTTATTGATCACAGTGCTAAAAGGCAGCAGCCTGCCAGGATGAGTACAGCTGTGAACAAATGGGTAATGGCCAGGGGACTTTCCTCAGTGAGGGGAAACAACTGAGCTCTCATCAGGAATTTCGGATGTCACCATGGAACGTGTTGCGCCAGTAAGGCAGACACTCTGGTGAGGGACATTCACAGGAGTCTGGAAGTGAGATTTTATAATGTAGGTGTGATCACATATTGGCAGTGAAAGTAACAAAGATGTCACAAATTAACCTGCTTTTTAGTTTTGTCTTCCAAAATTAGCATTGTGTGAGAGAACAGAATATAATGCTAGATCTTTAGGAAACATTAAAAAATGTAAGTAAATCTAAATTATAGTTTAGCTGCCCTTCTTTTTTTCCTAATGATTGCCTTTATTCACAGTATAAGAATAACCATGGCTGTTGCTGTTAGTCTGAAAAAAGCTTGCAATTTATTTTCTAAATTTTAATGAAAGCTTAATGGTCACCAGCCAAAAATCTTCATGTTAATCATATTTAGTTTCTCTGTTTTAAAAAGACATATTTCATTTTGAACTAGATCTGATCAATGCACAAAATGGGTTTTTGCCAAAGACTTTTAAAAGCGCTTAGCTTAAAATTGTCCAGGTTTTTAATAAAATAATTTGGAAAAACGTATCTGGTTTGTTCTCACATTGAGGAATGCTTTTCTCCTTTTTCTCATTTCCCTGTTTTTCCTGTCCTTTTGACGAATCCTGACTAGAGCTCTCCGTTTAAAGGCTGTGAGCTTCCCGGAGCGCAGGAAACCTTCTGGGGCTGCTGATACACAGCAGAGTGCACGACCCTGCGACTGCTCCCTTCTCCACCCGCCCACTGTGCAGCACAGCCTCCCAGACTTCTCCTGAGAAGTGCTGAGGCCCTGCCAGTTCTAGTCTGGGAGCTGGGCCTGTTTAGTACCTCTGAATACTAACTAGGTTGTTTTTACCCAACAGTAATGTGTGACAAATTAAACAATATAAGTTTTATCTTGATCTTAATTAAGGCAACAGCAATATTCCCATTCACTTCAGTGGGACCAGGGTTATATCAAATATTATTTAAACATTTATAATAGCATTAGATAATAGGTTTAGAATAATTAAGAGTCTATTGAAGAAATTTAGCTTGATGGTGGAAAGGCAAATTATGTCAAATGAACGGGAACTGTCGTTTATGGAGGCCTATTGAGATAGTCTTGTTTATTGAGGGAAGAAAGCAAAGCTCATAGGAATCTTTCAGGGGTAGAGTCTGAAGGTCTTTTTGGGACTGAGAAGGAGGAGTGGGAATATTAAACAGATGTGTGAGGTGGGAACAGTGTTTTTAACCATCACACAGACTCAGCAGTCAAGAGTATCCAAAAATTAATTTTCGATTGGTAAAATGAGATCCTAGGTTCAGTGTAGGCTGTTTCAATTAGGTCTGTGCAGATACACAAAATTAATGGGTCAAAAAAGTAATTAATGGTGTTAATATATCAATCATTTTTTGTAATAAAAGTGTCTGAAATGAGTCAGGGGAAAAAATCTAATAATTAATTTCAAAACTGCTATGATGCTTCAATTGATTTGGGGATAGGAAAAAAAGAGAATAATTAGTAAGGATCAAAAAACAGTATCACATTTAGTCCTTCAAATGGAGAGGAAAATTAAACAGAGATGGGATTGAAATACCATTTTTTTAATCCCTGTGAGAAGATTGGGAATGACAATTATAGTAGAGACCTACCCTTTATTTAAAATAGCTACACTTGCCTTGTCCTTCCTCACTTCTACTCAAGTGCACAGTCCTTATTCCTGTGGAAGGTCATGTCAACTGAGGAAGGAAACAAGTGGCTCTGTGTTTGTGGTGTGTTTTAGGTTTTCTCCTTAACCCAGAACTCTAACATTTTAAGCAGCACTTTTCTCAGTTTGTTGCTATTATAAAATGATAATGAACTAGTATAAGAGCCATAAGTGTATTTTTTTTAAAAGCATGCACATTTCAACACAAAATGTAGGGTATTAGTCAAAGTGGTTGCTGATAGACTGCTCACTAGACAGGAGGTGAAAGAGAGAGGGCATTGCATGAAAGGGTTTACTCATAAAAATAAGTTGTGTGTGAGTTCTTTAATTTTAAATTAAATGATTGAGGGTGTGTGTGTGTGTGTGTGTGTGTGTGTGTGTGTGTGTGTGTGTGTTCAATTTTTTAGATAAATGCACTTGATGAATACACTGGTGGAGGTACAAGAACCATGAATTTGTAAAGATAAATGTATAAAATTTCCTTTTGGAAACCCTTTGACTGACCACAGAGTGCTACTGAGTTTGGTTTTATCAACTTCTGCGTTACTGAACAAAGGCATAGTGCTGCCATTATGAAGGATAGTTGTCTACTATAATTTAACCCTGAAGCTTTGAATGGAAGACAGTAGTTGAAAGTACTTAAAATAAAAGGAAAACCAAAACAAATGCAAGCTAACTCAATGTTTTTGAAAAGGTGATTCTTAAGCAGAATGTGGACAACTCTATTATCTACCATTATTTCAAAACTGTACCATGAAAGCTGCCTCTTAGGAAGCTGAGACGTAGGTATCAGTGTGGAAATACTAAATAACTAGGAAGCATTAGGGAAGTGGAATGTTACTCATCAGATGACTGAGAATTCAGACTGTGGCTGTTCAACATACTTCAGGGCAAGGAAGCAATCCCAAAAAGCTTTTCAGCTAAGAAATGGTGTTCCTTGCACTAGAAGCAGCTATTCTCTCTTCATTTTTCTGTGAGTTAAACTTACTCACCATATCCCTCTCCTTTTCCTGGAAATGCCTGTTTTAATGAAACATGCACCAGTTTCGGTGTTCGTATTCTTTTAAGTTTTTCTCATACTTATTCCAGGCCATTGCTGCTGGGCATGATGTGGCAAGCATGCTGGTCGCAAGGCTATGGTGTACTTACAAGAGTGATTTTATTTGAAGAAGGTGTTGCTAGGTAGACATTTTATTAGCACTCATGCAGAGTAGCAACTTGCCGCAGTCTGCAATTTTTTCATCTTTAAAGTAGACCTAAAACTGGATCCCTAACAATAGACCAAGAAGTAGGAAAACACATTTGGTCTTCCTTAGAAGAAATGGACTAAGCAAGCAGAGTGAAAAAAAGAACAAAACCTCCGAGAATATTTCAAATAACACAAGGTAGTATGATTTCTAATAATTTGTAATTTTTGTACAACATATAACACATATAGATACCTTATTCTCTTTGTTCTGTATGTTCACTTATAAACAAGTACCTTCCAAGACCAGCCAATATTCTTGTAAAACCCTCCTTGCAGCAATACTGGTTTGTGTTCCCTTGCAGTCCTTTGCATAGCAAATAATAAAGAGTTTTCACTTTGTTTTGTGCTGACATCAATTGATGCTGATGGACAAACAGAGATACTTCAGTATGATAATGCACTTCACAAGTTGAATTTCTAGTTGTTAAGCAAATATGGCTGTGTTCACTTCATCTCTGTTTAACACTCCTGGGAAAATATCAATGTCAAGAGAAAAATTTATTTTCAGGCCTCAAAGAGGATGCCATCAGCAATGTGGAGGAAAAAGGCTGAAATCTTTAAAAACCCCCCAAATAAAAAAGCTTTAGGGCTTGCTTTTTTGCAGTTCAGTGAATTGGTTCTTCTTAATGGTTCACTAAATTGTATCAAGTAAATACTCCGCTCCCACTACGATACTCAAAGTATACACTAAACTTCTTTTGACAGCTTTGCAGCCCATGCTGAGATCTAGCATGCCACAGCTATTTGGGTAGAAGCTAGCCCATTTAATAAGACTCATCTGACATAGCCCGTATCAGAGTCCTTGACTATCACCACCTTTGAGCAGTGTGGGGTTCAATGGACATGTTCACTGGCAGTCCTCCCTCTGCAGCATGTGTCTTCTTGGGTTGGCTGACTAGTAATAGGACATCTGGAAGTCCAAGAAATACATATATGGTCCTTTATGGAAAGGATGAAATGGACAATAGACAAAAGGTTACTTACCATCCGCAATGTGTAAAACTGGAAGAAGACAGAAACGCCCAGTGGGAACAGGAGTGTTCATCTAGCTCAAGAGTCCATTTTCACCAGTGGCAGGAGATGCGGTGTAGAGAAGCACATGAGCCTGGCCTCTGTCTGCAGCCTGTCGTATTCCTGAATGACTGTAATGATTGGATTAGGGACTTTAGGGGACACATCCCTGCCTGATCCATTTTTGTATGAGCTAATTGATCTGTTATGCATGAACTTATATACCTCTAATAAGATGTGCCTCTTGAAACAACAGGTTCCAGAAGTCCACCACCCCTTGTATAAGCAGGTACTTCTCTCCTGCTATTTTCACTATGTGCTCTCTGGTTTAACACTGCAGGCCTTAGTGAAGGACAGTTCTGTGCTAACCCTGATCTACCACCTTCATGATTTTGTGAATCCCAGTAATACCCTTTTTTGTCCATATTCTTTTAAACTAGAGTCCTGATCCTTTCTCCTTTGTAAAGTTACCGGTACGCCCCCTCCATTATTTTTGTTGGTTTTCTCTGTAGGGTTCTTACTAATTCTAGCCTGTCTACTATTCTGTTTTAAGATGCACAGAGCAGAAATCCAAGCATATTTACAATACGGGTGGAGCAGGTGTCCCTAGTGGCAAATTATTTCCTTTTCTTTGCTGTGATTATTTTTCCTACTGATACCTAACATTTTGTACCTGGTTTTGCAAACTTAGATCCGAATTTCAAAGAGCTGTTATTGATGACTCCAGTAGCATTTCCATGAGTGGAAACTATCTGTTCTGGGTACAGCACCAGGTAAGCAAAATTTAGGTTGTGCATTGCTTCACAGTGGTCCACAAGGAAGCTCACCTGCATCTGAGTGTTATACACACACATGCTGTGTGGCTTTTGGAGTTCCTTACTGTGAGTGTGGCATTTGACTGTCTGGAAAAAGCCTTGGTATTATCTTCACACTGCATGCTCCAGATCACTGACAAAGATATTTACTAATACTTGTTCTGTCATTGATCTCTTGGGGTTCTTGAGATTTATACCGATGTGTCTTGCATGTGTTTAGCAACACATTTTATGACATGAGTTTTTATTTATAGTCATTATTTATAATGTTTTATTCAATGTTAAGTATATTTAAGGTGAAATTATGTGTCTCCTTCAGGCTTCAAATGCTTCTGCTTCAATTTGCTTTTAATATTTACAAATATTTTGGCTTAGTGGCTAATCTCATGGCAGCACACCACTGTCTCCTATGAAAGGCTATATATATACTTCTCCAGGTCCCAGTGCTAGCAAACAGACTAAGGGCAGACTTAAAATTTGCAACCTGAATTTGACTTTTGTACAAATTGAAAATGCCAGGCATCTGTCTCCCTCTGCCTTGGCTCGTGCATTGTGTGACATTCCCCTATCCTGGCAACAGAAGTAATATCAGAGAGAGACTCATTTGATAATGATCCTTTTGCCTGGAGTTAAGAGAGCACCTTTCCAGTTTGTTACTTGTTGACTGTCATTTATTCTGCAATTATATCAAATGTGCTCTTGGACCTGTTCTTCCTTGGAAAGTGTCAGTCTGTGAATGATATTTCCAGAGCATACCTCAATCCAGTGATTTATTGAGGCAATATATCATCCAAGTAAGGTCCTTTAACCATGTTTTTGCTCACTGGATGATACAATCCAAAGAGAAGGAAATCTGAGTCACTGTTTAGTTGTGTAATAAAAGGTATGTCAGGAAGCAAGACGCTCTTGAAACACTAAGCATGTTTGCCTCCAGGTATACTGGCATCTTTGCACTTTTTTCACAAGCATTTTAGTGTGTTGAATTGGTTTCCATACCTGGTCGCTAAGGTCTTGGTCTCCTTGACAACTAAACTTTTCAAAGATTACATGAAAAATGTTTTCTTTAGCCCTAAAGCTGTTTTAATGCTTTAAAATGTCAGAGAAAAGATCCTTTAGTCCCAAGAGTAGGGAAGAGGTGGGAATGGAGAGGGAACAGAATATTTAAAAACATGTTTACAGAGTAATTCAGCACAGGACAGCCCAGTAGGATTGCCCTAAAAAAGGGGGATCTGAGTTTGAAGTTATTAATAAAAATATATTGTTTGAGAATAGATTGGGCTCTTGTTGGCAAAGTGAAATATTTCACCTGTAATTTACGTCCCTGAATTCAGCTAAGCTTGGTAACAGGAGTGCTATCTTAATATGCTTTATGGCTGCTCCTGCATGGTTAAATTCAAAGGGAATGAGCTTCAGCTTTGTTCTCTTATTGACATTTTTTGTTGGAAACATATGTTTGTGTTAGCTGGGGTTTGGAACCACTGTTTCGGTCAGGGTTGAGGGTGCATTTGCCTCTGTGGTGTCCTAATTTAGGTACTGCTGAAACAATTAGTTAGTTGGAATAAATGCCAGTCTCTGTATTCCATAATAAGCTGAATAGCCCTGTGCTCACAGTTTGCATGAGCATTCACATACTGGTGCTACCGATCACTACTGGTGCTGCCAGGAAAAAGCGGCGGGTCATAGTAGTAGAGGACTCTACTTTGAAAGGGACAGAAGCACTCGTCTGTAGGCCTGACCCGGTCTCAAGGGAGGTGTGTTGCCTACCAGGGGCAAAAATCACGGATGTTGCAGAGAGGCTGCCTGCTCTAGTAAGCCTCACTGACTATTACCCACTTCTAGTGATCCATGTGGGTGCTAGGGATATAGGCAGCAGTAGTCTGGAGAACATAAAGGACTACAGAGCCCTGGGAGAGGTGGATAAGGGCTCTGGAGCGCAGATTGTCTTCTCATCTATTCTCCAGGATACAGGGGGAGGACCTTAAAAAGGCTAGGAGTGTTGGACAGGTTAATAAATGTTTAGAAGGGTGGTGCCATAGTCAGGGGTTTGGGTATTTAGAACATGGGACTCAATTTAGTAGGCCAGGTCTACTGGGGGCTGATGGAGCTGCTCTAAAGGGGAAGAGTGGTTTTGTTAAGAGGCTTGCCAGACTGCTCAAGGATGCTTTAAAGTAGATGTGTTGGGGGAGGGGGCGTCATTCCATCCCAGCACTCCCAGTCAGTTGCCAGCACCTATAATAAATGCTTGGAGCAATGCAGAGATATTCCAGCCACTCCAGCCAATGAATGAGCTGGCTTCATTTGGAGCTCGGCTCAGATGCCTCTCCACAAATGACTGTAGTATGAGGAACAACCGAGGAATTAGAAATGTGTGCATGTCTATGGGGTATAATAGGCATCGCAGAAACATGGTGGGATGGCTCCTATGACTGGAGTGTTGGAATGGAAGTTCACAGGCTCTTTAGAAAAGACAAGACCCAGCAGGCGCGGAGGGGGAGTTGCCCTTTATGTTGGGGATAGGCTGGAGAGTATGGAAATCTGTCTGGAGACAGGTGAGCAGTCAGCAGAGAGTTTGTGGGTCAGGGTTAAAGGGAAAACAGCTGTGGGAGACATTACTGTGGGGATATGTTACAGACCGCATGATCAAGAGGAATCTGTGCAAGAAGCACCCTATAGACAGATAGGAAAAGCCTCATGCTCACAGGCCCTTGTCCTCATGGGGGACTTCAACCATCCTGATATCTGTTGGTGTGACGATATGGCCCGGCACAAGCAATCCAGGAGGTTCCTTGATTGTGTGGAAGACAACTTCCTTCTGCAAGTAATAGAGGAGCTGACCAGGAGACTTGCCATGCTTGACCTCGTGCTCACCAACAGGGAAGGGCTGGTTGGAAATGTGATGCTCCGGGGAAGTCTTTGTTATAGCGATCATGAGATGCGTGAGTTTGAAATCCTCAGGACAGAGAGATTCAGAACAGCCCTGTGGAGAAGGACTTGGGGGTCTTGGTCAATGAGAAAATGAACATGAGCCGGCTTCAGTGTGCGCTTGCAGCCCAGAAAGCCAACCGTATCCTGGGCTGCATTAAAAGGAGCGTGACCAGCAGGTCAGAGCAGGTCCTGCCCCTCTACTCCGCTCTCATGAGACCTCACTGGGAGTATTGTGTGCAGTTCTGGTGTCCTCAACATAAAAAGGACATGGAACTGTTGGAGGAAGTCCAGAGGCGGGCCACGAGAATGATCAGGGGACCAGAGCACCTCCCATATGAAGATCGGCTGAGAAAGCTGGGGCTGTTCAGCCTGGAGAAGACTGCGTGGAGACCTCATAGCAGCCTTCCAGTATCTGAAGGGGGGCTATAGGGATGCTGGGGATGAACTATCCATTAGGGACTGTAGCAATAGGACAAGGGGTAACAGGTTCAAACTTAAACAGGGGAAGTTTAGATTGGGTATAAAGAGGCAGTTCTTTACTGTTAGGGTGGCGAGGCACTGAAATGGGTTGTACAGGGAAGTTGTGAATGCTCCATCCCTGGTGGACTGGGTTGGACAGAGCCTTGGGTGACATGGTTTAGTGTGAGGTGTCCCTGCCCATGACAGGGGGGTTGGAACTTTATGATCTTAAGGTCCTTTCCAATCCTAACTATTCTATAATTCTATGATACTACAATTCACATGCAGAGACAGCTCTGCATGCAAGAGTGGTCCTTTTCCTTCAGAGCAATTTCTCACTTTGCCCCCCAAACAAGATGATGCCAAGTGTGTAGGAGAGAAAACAGTAAAATCTCAGTTGAAGTGGAGCCACCAAGCTGTTTAGGATGTGGACCTCAACAGGAGTAGGCCCTGGCCCGAACTGGCCCTGTGGAGCAGGTTCCTCTGATGGGTAGTGGAGCTTGCAGCAAGTGTGCCCTTCCCAAGGAGTGACATGGAGAGCTGACATGGAAAGAAGGGGCATGGCTTGTTTCCATGGCTCAGAGGCAGAGGAGCTGAAAGTGCAGTGAGTCAAAAAATGATGTGGCACTGAGGAACCAACAGGGACCACAACTTTGGGCTCCTTTTCCAGCAGGGCTTGCACACTATCTAGGAAAGCTAGTGGTAGCCTCCCTTTTCTAAGTGGTTGCCGGCACCTCAAATGGCATTTACCTGAACCTCTGTTTACAGAAGCCATTAAAGAGGAAGTGGTGAGGAAAACAGCTGAAGGGAAATTTCTGCCTGGGGCTCAATAATTGTAGACCTGGAGCAAGACCCTGTTGTCTATAACCAGCAGTATCTATCTATTCCCATCTATGGAAACAGTAACCTCAACTCATTTTCCTCTTCTGCACTGATTCGTCTACTGGTTTGTTTCAGATTGTCATTATGGTTTTGTATCCTCTTTTATGCTAGTTTCCAAATGCTGGGAGCTCTGAAAGTTTTCAGATTAAGGGCCACAGTCTGAGACCAGAACACCTAGGAATGGAAAGTCAGGTAATGGGTGTTATATATGTGAATGACTGTGAATTTGCTCATCAGCATACTGCCTCTTGTTCATGTTTTTTGCTTGAATAAATCTCCATCTTCAATTAAAGTTTTTCTTGTTCTACACATGTGTTGCAAACTGGTGTAACATCCATGTCAGTTACAGTCACTTGTCTGAAAGAAGACTACTGTCATTTTTGGCTGGCACATTTACTTGCTAACTTACCCAGCTGACATGATTCAGATTAATGGAGTGCCACCCACTGGGTAAACAGTAAACCCTTGTGGATCTTACTGCAGATCTGTGATTGATGGCAACTAATTCTGTTATGAAAGAGGAGGTTGATTTTCAATCAAGGCACCCTTTGCTGATGATTCTTCATTTAGCATACCTTACTCTAACCAGGCACCTAGACTTGGTTGATGGCAAGCTTCTACATAGAATCATAGAATTATTTAGATTAGAAAAGACCTTTAAGATCACAGAATCCAGCCTTTAACCTAGCACT